TGTGGCTGGAAAAGTATCACCCAGCCAGGACTCTTCTGTCCAGAAAATGCTAAGCTGGGCAGGACATAGGGCCCACAGCAGCAGAGTGAGGTAGACAGTGTTGCCCTGGGGAAAGTGTCTTAGGGGAGCTGCTACAGAACTTGGCCTTGTTCATTTCCAAAAGAGGTTAGGGCGGGGGTAGGTTTTGGGGAAAGAAGATGGACGGAAAGAAAATAACCACAAATGGTCACTGGCTCTCTGATTGATGCACCACTTCACTTACTGATCTCATTTGATTATTTCACTAACTACAGGAGGAGGTGGCAGTATCTGATGGAGGGACCTCTTCCTCTGTCCTCATATTTTCAGGTTTCCATCAGACCCTCCCAGACTCCATGTCATACTCCCACCCCCAGGAGAACCTGTTCCATTTTAGGATTGGTGGAGAACCAAGGGTCTGCGCACCCACTGGCTCACTGTTCTTTTCCCAGGTGATTTGAGGTCATCGAGTGCCCCCTTCCTCCTCTTGTTTTTGAAGTGATGTCATGCTCTGTCTAATCTCCATTATCTCTTCTTTGTTGCCAAGAGTGACCTTTGGGGAAGACAGATGGTTATGACTTTCTAACTATTTTGTCTGAATTTGGTTCCTTTTTTGGAAAGGGTAAAATATTAGAAATATTAGGAATGAATGGCTCTTGATTCCCAAATCAAGATGCACCAGTTATTAAGCTGATGTTGGGGACCCCCACCCCAATTTGACTCATGTCTATTTTAATTGAAGGAGGAGAAAAGCATTTATTATTGACCTGTTCAATCTCGTCCATTTTACCTATGACAAAACTGAATTCACTCAGTTTCTAAATGACAGGGCAGGGATCAAACCAGACTCTTTTGCATGCTCTATTTCTGTTCCTCCATGCTGTCTCTTCAGGTTGAAATTATGTTGAACAAAGAAAGAAAGTCTTATATAGCCAGATGATGTGATTCCAATTACCATGAGTCATGGGTTCACTTAAGCCAGCTTTTGATGTCCTGCTTGCTCCCAGGCTATCGGTTCAGGAAGGCTCTCTGCTCTATTCCCACGAGGTATATTCTGAGATGGTCTTCTCATGGGCCCTGCTGGGAAAGAACAAAACATTAACATGGCAAACACCCTTCCTTTTCCCAAAGATTCCACTTCTTTTGATGACAGCAACTTTCCTAATGGGGAACAGGAAAAGGGTCAAATTTTTCTGCAGGATCATTCAAGCCCTTTCCCAGGACAGGATGATCCTTGGGAAAGTTATGGAACTGTCCCAGCAGGTTCTACCATGCTCTAGGCTACAGAGAATTCTTGACTGTTTTCCCCTCATCCTAACCATCATCCTCTTCCTGTCCCCTCTCTAAGCACAGGCACGCATGGGAGGATGCATTGCATTTAGGCCCAAAGTAAGACTTCATTGCTTCGTTCACTCTTCACAAAAGCCCTGCTGGTCCATGTTCCCAAATGAGGAAACTGAGTCCCAGAGAGGCAATGAACAGTGTCCCAAGCTCATCAGATGTAGATGGTGACTAAGGGATTGCTAAACAGGGTCTGGGTCTTCTGACTTCTAGTCCTTTTTACATAGTAAAGAGTGGGTATATTTTAAATATTACATTCCAAAATAGAAAACAGAAGAGGAATCTGTTGGGTTTCCTTGTTATTGCCTTTTTTGGTATTCAGAAGTCAGAAGTACTCAATATCTTTGAGGTAGCACTGAGGCTCAAAACTGAAGATGGGAAAATCTGTGATTACTCCAAAATTACTAAGTATAGACATTTAAAAATCCAAATCCACCCTGTGAGTTGTCTGTGAAATATATGTGCCTGGAGAACTGTGAGACATGTTGAGTTGGGGACCAATATGACACATGGCTGGTAGTTTATGGGAAAATGCTGAGCTGGGCTGGCTGCTACAGAGACCTAGTTAGTGGGTTTCAAGGCCTCCTGGGCACAGGTGCTACCTTCTTACTTCGACCAGGGTAAGGACTCTAGAGGTTGGGTGAGATGCTTAAGAGATACAGTCAGGGGAGCTCCTACTCATTCTGGTACATTTTTGCGCTTTGATAAGCCTTTGAAAAGAAACAAAAGCCAATATTTCCTGGCAACATGTTGTATATCTTGAAAAGACAATTTGAATATACATAGACCAAAGACTAGTGAATATCCCTGCATAGTCTATGTACTACTTTGAGTATAGATAGATCAGTGTCACGTCAAAAAATATTTATTTTAAAGTTATAAAATTTAAAATGATAAAAGTTTAAAATATGAGAATAATAATTCTTAAAATAATAAAAACAAAACAAACACATCATAGGTGAAACCCCCAGTTCCTCCTATGTGACTGGAACAGTAGAGAAAGGTGTTGACCTGGAATTTTATCTGGGATAATCAATATAATTTTTAATGGTTCTCTCTCCCCCTCCCCATTTCCAATTTGGAAATGCATGAAATGCAGAACATCTGACATGGAGGTAAGGATTTAGTTTGGTAGATTGCTTGGCATTGGCACTTGTTTAGAAAAAAGTGTACCAGTAGAACATGTTGTTTTTCAAAATAAACTTTCGAAGGAACAGAGATCCAAAATACAAATTATCTTTTAGAGAAAAAAAAATGGCTTAAAAACTTTGCAAATCAATAAAATAAATTTGCTTCATAACTATATAAAGTTGCTCATTAGGATGATTTAAAAAAAAAGAGGGGAAAAAAAGGAAATCTCAAACTATCTATAGACATAGGCAGGCAGGCAGGTAAAGTTTGGACTCTCTGGACCTACTTTGATAACTTACTACTCAAAGCATGATATGAGGACCAGCCCCAAAGAATCACCCAGCTGTTGGCTAGAAATGCTAAATCTTAGGCTCTACCCCAGACCTTCTGAATCAAAACATGCATTTAACAAAATACCTATGTGACTCCTATGCACATTATAGTTTCCAGAGCTTTGGTACTTTGAGTTCTCAGGGCTGAAATTTGGAAACAATCCTAAACTAGATGCCAAATTAGACTTCTGGAGTCACACACAGGAGGAGAGACTGCTGATGTTGGAATGACAGTTTAGTTCCCAAACACAAGACACATATTTCTGTGAGTGACCAATTGTCCTTTTGTATAAGTGGGTGCCTTTGTCCCTGGGCTATGGGTGAGTCACAGCATGTGATTTATCAGACAAGGGACACATATTTAGAAATAAATCATTGCCAAAAGAAAGGGTATGAAGAAATAATAATCACTCATGTCTGGTTTTCATTATAAAATAATATTGCAGTTTTGCATGCTTTCTAGACTCCTTAGGGTATTCTATTGCCACTCTGAGGTTTTTTTTTTTCTTTTTACATATTTAGAAGCTATTTAATAGAAATGGTGCTGCATGGAAACAAAAATATTTTTCTCACAAAATGTTCCCATTCAATAAGTTGCCGCATATTTTTGTTCCATATGGTGCTTCATAAACTAACAGTATCCGCAGGCAATGCAATTGAGCAGAGGGGTACATTTACATGCTTAGAGTGGCAATATGAACCCACGTTCAAGGATTTTTTGTTTTAGGCAAAAGATAATTGATGTTTAATTAAAAAAACCATATAATGTTAAAGAGTAGTTCAAGCTAAATTCCTTAAAAGAGACTGTAGAGAAAGTAAATTCATTTATGCATGTCATTCAGTCATCAAGCATTTACTGATCTTTTACTGGACTTACAAAGATGAATAAAACATTGTCCAAGACACTGAAGAACTCATCCTCTAGTGCAGTGATGGTGAACCTTTTGAGCAGGGCATGTCAGCATTTTGAAAAACCCTAACCTAACTCTGGTGCCGTGTCACATATAGAAATTTTTTGATATTTGCAACCATAGTAAAACAAAGATTTATATTTTTGGTATTTTATATATTTAAATGCCATTTAACAAAGAAAAATCAACCAAAAAAATGAGTTTGCGTGTCACCTCTGACACACGTGTCATAGGTTCACCATCACTGATCTAGTGGATGAAAAAGAAAGAAGACATCACAGAGTGATTTAGAGAGTAAGTGTGGGTATTCTGGGTGTGCACAGTAGGAGTTCTCAATGAACAAGAGGGATGGGACAGGAGCTGAGGGAAGTCTTTCTGGAAAAGGAATTCTTTAAAAAGCAAGCCATAAAGCTACCCTTTAGGTCCCTGATATGTATCAGTGAAGTCCTCTCTGACCATCTGTATTAAGAGCAATGGTAACTCCAAACCCATGCCCTCCTACTCTGCTTTCTCCATGGAGTTTAATACCATTCATGATAGCCAGCCTCCCAGACAGCCTGAAAATCCCTGGATCTTGGTATCCATGCCCTTGCATGGTCCGCCTCCACATTTCATCAGGGTTAGGAATAATAGAATATGACAGACGCCACAATAAGTCACTTCCAAGATTAGGTTATAAAGGCTTCCATCTTGATCACTCTCTTTTTCTTAGCAGCTGGCCTTCCCCAGAGTGAGCCATCTAAGTTATAAGCAGCTCTTGGAGAGGTCCACATGCCTCATGATAATGCCACATGAATGAACTTGGCAGCAGATCCCTCAAAGCCAGACATATCTCCAGATGAGACTGCAAGCCTCATGACAACTGGATTACAACCTCATGAAAGAGCAAAAGCCAGAACCACACACCTGCTCTGTTCCCAGGCTCTGATTCTCAGGAATTGTGAGATAATAAACCACTGTTGTTTTAAGGTCTAAATTTGACATAATTAGTTCCATAGTAATACATAACTAATACATCATCTGGTGCATTATACACTATTTTCCCTCTTCTCAAGTAAGATGTAACCTCCATGAGGACAATAACTTGCTTGATTCATTGCTGTACTTCCATTTCCTAGAACACTACCTAGATCATGGTAGGTGCTGAATAAACATTTAAACCAGCGACTGAAGTCCGCTGATACTCATTCTAATAATTTGAAACAGGATTTATAGTGTTTCCGTGTACATAGAAGGGCTTCATGATAAGGACTAGCTTTATTTCTCTTCTGATTTAACTGGTTGGGCATTTTGTAAGTGATGAACCCCACAACTAATAAAAACAATCCAACTAGACTTTCCAGAGAAAAAAAAGCAGAGGCATGATGTCTGTGTCCATGGGCTGTGCATATATTCTTAAAAGTTCTTTGATTAAGTTCTTCCCACACTCCTTCCAGCCTTCCTCTGAGATCTGTCAGTCTGTTTCATGCTTCCATGACTGTGGTTCTATCTCATTCGTCAATTTATTTTGTTCCTTAGATTCCACATGTAAGTGAGATCTTGTGATGTTTTCTTTCTTTGACTGGCTTATTTTGCTTAGCATAATATTTTTCAGGTCCACCCATGCTGTCTCAAAGGGTAAGAGATCCTTCCTTTTTACAGCTACATAGTGTTCCATGGTGTAAATGTACCACAGCTTTTCTATCCACTCATCTACCCATGGGCACTTGGGTTGTTTCCAGATCTTTCCAAAGGTAAACTAGAAGACCGAAGGAGCAGGCTGATGATCATAGGCAGGTTGAACTGACTGGGGACAACAAAAGCAAACCAGAAATGCCTCATGGAGAATCCTAAACCATAGCTTTCAGTAGTTAACCCTGCCTGTCCAACAGATCACCTGGGGCACAGTGCTGGTTATTCACGTTTTTTACTTTAAATCTACCCTTCCATGTACTGCTTTGAAATGCTAGAGTTGGAACTGTGCCAACAGTATCTCTCCTTTACCAGCTCTCACAATAGAGGGCACTAGAGAAAACTGGAATATGGAGAAGGGCTTTTTCTCCATCCTGTTCCATTTCTTTTTCTATCAGTGTCAACCTGGCCCTACCAGTTAGTTCCAGTAGGAAGTTGGTTTTAGTTTCTAGTTTTGCCACAATCCCAGAACCATTTGCATCTGAGGTACAAGTAAGTTCTAGCAAGCCTGTTCCTCTGAAATCTGGGTCCTACCAGCTCTAGGAGGTCCTTCCCCTGAGGTCAGACACCAGCAAAAGCTGGAGCTCACGGCCCAGAAGCCAGGATCTCAGCTCTGCAGGGCCCCTAGCCCTGACTTCATTCCTTTTTTCCCCCACCCTTAGAGGTAGTAGCTGCTTCCTGAATTCTCAATTACTGGTTAACTTGTTAAAATTATTTCAATTAAGTTTTTGGTTCTGGTTTCTGAGTCCTGATAGGACTCCTGACTGTAGGCATATAAAAATGCACAGATGTCTGGATTTTTCCATAACCTAATGTTGATTTAATTGGACTGTTGTGATTAGACACAGAGCATTAGTGACTTTAACATACAGCCAGGGTAGAGAACCTGGCATTCTTCTTACCTCTATAGAATGGTCCAGCTGACTTAAAATGGAGGGCGAGAGGTACTCAAAGCAGGCCTCTGAATTGTCTCCGTTTTTGAACAATTCCTTCAGCTGCCTATACTTGTGTTTAGCAGAGACCACCTTCTTTTTTAATTTGACAGACTCATCCATTGAAGAGTAAGGATTCATTTGGCCATTCCCCCCTCCAACTCCTTGGTATACACCATTTGAGCTGGTTCCGTCCATCTGCTTCCATATTCAGACTGTCCCTATGCTATAGGCAGTTACATAGACCTGAGCAGAGCAAGGACCATGGGCCAGGTACAGATGGTCATCAGCCTGGAAAGCCCCAGGTGCCTAGCAAGGGACAATCAATTATAGGGTGGGACCTTGCCCCCAGGGTGACTTTCCTCCCCTAGAATATCACTGGTCATGAGGTTTGGACACCTTGACCTTTCCTCCCTAGAAATAACATGAAGCCTCTGTTGTATTTTAGCTCCAGCCCCAGATAAGCAACAAAACCAGCCATGGCTGATGTCAGGACCAGCTGCATTGGATAATGACCCCCTGCCCTGGTGCCACCAATCAATTAATGGAGACCACGACCCTGAATGGGCACACCTGGAAAGCTGCTGCATATTCTATTAAGATCTTTCCCCTGAGGCCTCCCCTAAAATCTCCACCCTTAAAACCCTTAGGATGGAGGACCCAGTGCCCTCTCCTTCCAGGGAGCGCGCCTATGCCTTTCAACCACCCACTCTTCAGGTATGTTACCATTAGCTTCCTCACTACCAAGCTCCAACGGCCCTTCCTTTATCTCCATAACTTGTTTCCTAAGTCCATTTCTTCTAGGAATTACTTCTTTTACCTCTGTAATTTACCAAATAAATGTTCTCCTACAGTTTGGGTCTTGTTCTGAATTCTTTCCTAGCCAGAACCCATGTACTGAGGTTGCTGAACCTCCGTTTGGTGTGGCATCAGACAACTGGTGCCATTCCCAAAGCCTACCACACCTGGACTCCTAAAATAGCTCTGAATATCCCATTCTGGGTGACTTCAACTGAGACATGAAATAATGAAATGAATGTTTCCCTGTCACTAAAAGCAAAACAAAGGATAGATCTTGGGTATTTGCCAAGAAAAAACAACTTGCATTTGCATTCAGAGAATGTTAGGCCCCCAGAGCAAGGACCATAGGCCGGGTACAGAAACTCACCAAGGCAGAAAGCCCTGGATGTAGAGCAAGGGGCAAAACTGGAAAAATAAGAACCTCACCTCCAGGGTAACCTATCTTCCCCTAGCATATCACTGGTCAGGCGGTTTAAACTCCCTGACCTTTTCCTTCCTAAAGATAACATTGAGGCCTCACTTGTATTTCAGCTCCAGGCCCAGAAAAGCAGCAAAACTAGACAAGTGGCACCTGGCTGCCTTAGAACCAGCTACATTGTCTAAT